TCCCCTTCTATTTGCCAGGAGGTGATGGGACCAGTGGCCATGATTTTAGTTTTTTTGATGTTGAGCTTCAGACCATTTTTGGCACTCTCCTCTTTAAGAGGTTCTTTAATTCCTCCTCACTTTCTGCCATCAGAGTGGTATCATCCGCATATCTGAGGTTGTTGCCATTTCTTCCGGCAATCTTAATTCCGGTTTGGGATTCCTCCAGTCCAGCCTTCCGCATGATGTATTCTGCATATAAGTTAAATAAGCCAGGGGACAATATACAGCCTTGTCGTACTCCTTTCCCAATTTTGAACCAATCAGTTGTTCCATATCCAGTTCTAACTGTTGCTTCCTGTCCCACATATAGATAGATAAGGAGATAGATAAGGTGATCAGGCACTCCCATTTCTTTAAGGACTTGTCATAGTTTGCTGTGGTCCACACAGTCAAAGGCTTTGACATACTGTCAGTAGTCTGAGATCATTCTAGCATTTTTCCGAGACGGCTTCATGACGCTCATGCTTGAGGGCTTAATAAACGTAATAAAGGTCTTCCGTTGTGAAAATATTTTTTAAAAAAAGCTTGCCCACCAAGCGGCCAATTCCACCTCAGTTCAGGCAAAAGGCAGCGGGTTGAGGTCCAAAGGGAAGGGAACCGAGTGGAGAGGGATTTCCACAGCCAACAGGGGGGAGTGGAGAGCCCGGCCAAAGCTGAGAGGCGCCGCTTTCCCTTCCCTTCTCCCTCTTTATTTTTTTTCTCCCCCGCCCGGAAATGGCGCCTCTCCGCCCTCCCTCCTCTTCCCTCGGCGTCCCTGGCGGCGCCTTAGAGACCCGGCCCGGCTTTGGGGCGCCGTGCGGGCGGCGGGGAGGCTCCTGCGGGCACTGGGGCGCGATGGAGGACGTCCGTCCGGTGAGGAAGGGAAGGAAAAGAAAGCTCTGAGGGTCACGGCCGCCTCTCGCTGCCCCCCCCCGCTTCCCCCTTGAAAGGCTTTGTTGCGGCTGACTGGCGTTGCCCGCTCGGTCACTAACGGGAGTCTGACATCATCCATTAATTGTGACGCAACGGGCTGTGGGTCGGGGGTCCCCTTCTAACTGACGGGCAAAACTCCGTGGGTTGGCGCCTTGGGCCTGGAGAGCCAGGGGCTGGGAAGGCGGATTCCTCCCCACCCACCTCTACCCTGGGGCCAGCCGAGATCAAGGGGGAAGGGGGGTGGGGAGGTTGTGTGTGGCTGATGGGCTCACAGGCTGCGGCTGTGTAGCCTTGGACAAGCAGCAGCCTCCGAAGGAGGGGCTGGTCAACCACCCCTGAGTAACTCCAACAGGAGTTGGAAGGGGCCCTCCAGAGATCATCGAGTCCAGCCCCCTGTGAGGGAGGCCCGGTGGGGGAGTGGACCCCCCCCAACCAGCCAGGGACCTTAATAAACCACTGAGTGCTTGATATCTAGAAAACCCTGGGATAGTCGTTGCAACTTCCAACTGACTTGATGGCGCATAATTATTATGGCCGGAGGGAAATGAACCCAGCTTCGGAATATGCAGGCCTTTCTTCAGGGTCAGTTTTAAATTTTAATACAGCGTGGGTCTGCAGATCTTCTACTTCTGCCAGAGATTCCTGATCATAAAGTGTGGGGCAAATTTTTGTGTCTTTTTGGTGGGCAGAATGAAGGTATTGGCTAATAAACTGTGGAGGGATCAGGGGCTGCGCAGAAGGGCAATTAATTGCATGGGCCTTCCCTCCGCCCCGGCAGGGTCCTTCCCCTTTGCCTTTTCTGGCTCTTGGACTGGTTCTGAGACAGGGTACACAACCCGCTGGGTGACCAGTTGGGTGATGGGCCTTGCCAGAGAGAGGGGGGAAAAAAACACTGTGTGAGTGCCTTGATGGGTATGTTTTTCTCTCAAGTGAAGATTCTGGCTGTTGTCAGAGTGTGGATTTTAGAATTCATTTTTTGAAACCCTCCCTGCTTCATGGCTGCAGATAATAATCATTGGACTGGTCACAGTGCATTAGAACTTACATATTTGTTGGACTTTATTATCTCATCTGTGCAAGAAACTCAGTGTTGCCCCATTTCATTTTCCCCTACTGCTACATTGCATAGGCATCCTTCAGTCTCGGGAAAGGCAAGAGCCAATATGACTGGTTCCAGCAATGTCGCAGGAGTTGGCAGAACGACACATGCTGCCTTCGGGACTCCAGCTCCGGATTTTGCCTCGAGGTTAACTCCTGAAGCCTTTTCCATGAGTGGATATAGCCACAAGGCAGTGGAGGTTTGAAACTGGAGTTTTCCTTCTCCTAGATGGGCTGCCTTCCATGGCTGACGAGCCCCACCTACCCGGCCTGCTCTTTAATAGTGCAAAAGTATGATCTGATCCTTAAAACTTTCCTGACTACCTGGCTTATGCAAATCTCATTGGCTTTCCTATTTACTGTATTAAGGCCAGATATAAAATTTGAGAATTTCGTGCGCCGTTAGGTCCTAGGATAAATCTGGAGTGATAAGCTTAGGCTGAGAGGTCCTGCATAAGCTTCTTCATAATAAGAACAACGGTGAGCCTGTCAAATCAGGTCTGACTTCGGGTGACTCTTTTCAAGGTCTTCTAGGTAGAGAATACCCAGGATTTGTCATTCCCTTCTTTTTGGGGCACCCTGGGACTGACTGTGCAGCTTGCCTAGTCTTGCTGGCTCTTTCTGGGATGCACAGTGGGAAACTGAACTCCCAACATCTGAGTCTTTGGTCAGATACTTAACTCATTGATCTGTCCAGACTGCTTAAGCTTCTGAATGGAGTGGGAATTTGGACTTTATTTCCTCGGTCCTAATCCAGCATTCGAACCACTTTGTCATACTCTGTCTTTCTTTTTGGCTTTTCAAAAGAAAAGAAAATCACCACACTGCCATGATGTCTTGAAGCAACAGCCTATTTTTGCGACATATTCCACCTTTTTTTTCACAACTTCTATCATCGTGGAAAGACACAGAACACATTTTGGCATATTAAAACCAATGCACATTTATTCAGAAGGAAATCTCACAGTATTCAGTGCTCACCTCGGTAAATCCTTATGCACGTGATCTCTGCACAATGAATGCACGAGGGGGAGAGTGAGGATGAGCGCATTAGGGCTGCTGTGAATATCACCATTGCCACATACACACACCACTGAGTTGAAGGGAACGCTGAGGGGGAAAAAGTCTTTAGAGTTATCCGTTCTGGATGAATGATGTGTGTGTGTGGGGGGGGGCTGAGCTAATTTGTTTCTCTTATGTTTTGATTTAATTTTTTTAAAAGCCTGAATAAGGCTTACGTGAACTCAATATTACAGTCCTAATATTTGTCAGTGTCTCTCGGGAATATTGCTAAGAAGACAATAGAGTAGTTCCTGACATCTTTTTATAATTCCTTTTGAGTGCTAGGGCCAAAAGTGCTGCTGTCAGCCCCTTTAGCTTCCTTCGGTTGTGCTCATTTAAGAATCCAGCTGCAAGTCCACATCTGACACAACTCTTCCTATACATTTCACTGAGGTTAACATTGTGTATCTGTGTTACATGCTATCAAGTCACATTCCAGCTTATGGCAACCCTCATACGGTTTTTAAAGAACGTGAGAGATTCAAGTAATGCTTCACGATGGGCCACCACCGCCTCCCTCTTGTGAGTTTCCATGGCTGAGTGGGGATTTGAAACTAAGTCTCCCGAGTCCTCGTTTGTCACCCAGTCCACTGCACCACTCTGCTTTCGAGGTTAGCATTTTTAGAGAGTCTTTTATTTTTAAAGATGAGACTCACATTGTGAGATCTGAAAGAGCAGGTACTGCTAACTATCCTGTATATATAAATCAGTAGCAGAACTGTGGACTTCAATGAAAACATCATCAGACTCGAAGGCAGGTAGAGCGGAGGTTGCTTTCAACTAATCCTGGACATTGGGAGTTTATTTTTAGTACAGAATTAGCACAGGTCATTGCTGGTATGCGGATTGGTGTCTGTCATATGGAATAGGACTTTAAATGATATGGGAAAGAAGCAAGTGGTGAGTCCTGTTCTGAGTTACCAGCCATAGATATTTGCTTTTTAAAAAATGGGTAAAACTTTTATTGAATTTTTCAGAACCTTTTAGGTTTGCTTATGTAATACAAGATCTGGTTCTTAAGTGCTCTAACTGCGAGAATTATGAGGTGCACAGAATGCACTTCCCATAGCTCAGCAACATGATCTATTTTTTATTCATGTCATTAGCATTCTAGACTGACTTTTTTAAAATCCCTGTACCAATCCACTGAATTTAAAAGGGATTCAGAGAGTGTGGACTTCCACTGGAAACTCTCCCATGATTTTCGAGCATTTCTACCATCTTTTGTTCTTCCAAGAACAAAATTCTTTTTAAGGAGAAGAATGCAAAAAAGCTGCATAATGGCTTTTGATTGTTAGTACTGTGGTTCCCTCTATCTGGATCAGGATGGATTTGATTTAAATCAGTTTGATTTAAATCATAATTTTAAAAAAATGGATTTTTGATGATTTAAATTTTAAAAATCAATTAATGTAATTCATGATTTTTAAAAAGTCATTGATTTTTTAACCACCCTGATCTGGATACAGCTTTAATATATTTTTAAATGTAGCCTGTATTCTGCGATGTGGATATTAATAGTGTATATTGAAATGTATTGCGTGCCATTCCTTAGGTAGATTTATTAAATGTTTTTTCTACAATATTCTGTTTACTCTAGATTATGCTGCTGCTGTAAACTGGGTTATACTTCTGTCTTGTAGTTTTAGCAATCCCAATATTTTGCACTGCATTGTTGGTGGTGTTTTTTGGGGGTTTTGCTCTTTGTCTTGTGTACTCTTGCTTGGAAGGCAAATAAACACTAATAAATAATAGTAATCTTTAATCCAGTAAATTGAAAGAAACGTATCCGCCTTTCTCACACGCGACTTTGCTCCTGCATGTGCACAACTCCGCCCCGCATGTGCTGG